TGCACCAAGATTCAATCCAAAAATGAGCAAAGCAGTGAACTCATATGCCAATGTGATCGCCCTGAGGCCCCACCAACACAGTATCCAATGTCGCTCATCTTTGTCTGGCGTCATTGCCCCCCCATCCCTGCTCGCCCCTCCCATCCTTCATCGCCCTCCCATCCCTGGTCGCCCCTCCCATCGGCCAGAGCCGCCAGACCCTCCTCCCACATCACAAAAATGCAAGGAATATGAGCGAGAGCGATAAACAGAAAATCAACTTGAAGTTGTTAAATCACGCAGAAGTCCTGATAGTCATATACCAAGCAGACTCAGCAGAAAGCTGAAATGAACCGAGATTTCATCCAAATAAGAGCAAAGCAGTGAACTTGTGTGCCAATGTTATCACACACCAGGCCCTTTCAAGGTGTGTTCGGTTGGGGTACAGGTTCTAAAAAAAAACATCAGCGTTATTTTTTCGGGGTACCCCAGGCCCAGGTAAACGGCCTGGGAACCACAAAAATGTTTTTTGAATTTTTTGAAATTGGGGACCAACCGGACACCGGACCCGGACACCGGACACTTGACTGTCTGGATTGGGATCCTGGACGTCCGGTTGGTAACCATGATATTTTGCTTTCCTCACAAGCGGTTAACAGGGATCCGCACTTTTCCGCCCCCGGTTAACCGCCCAACACCGAAAAGTGCATTTGGGGATAATGTTTTCAATTTTATTTATTTATTTACTTATTTATTTCTGGGTAGCACCGTGTACGCGTACGTACTACCGCATACGCGTACATGCTCAAAAATGCGCTAACTAGTATGTGTTTTATATATAATATAATAATAATAATGAAAATATATATATATATATATATTAATAGTATTATATAGCATTATATACCATATTATACATATAATATATATACAGTAATATAGTAAAAATATACTACTATTTCTATTATACCTTTACGGAAGACAACGGGGAGGTAGACGAGATGGCAAAGGAAGACAACGAGGGGAGGAGGAGGAGGAGGAAGACAATGTGGAGGACAAGGCGATGGCGGGGGAAGATGACTGCGGGGAGGAGCGGGTGGAAGATGGCGACGGGAAGGTGGGGCAGATGGAGGAGGGCGACAATGGGGAGGAAAGACAACGTGAAGGTGGAGACGATGGAGGAGGGAAGGTGGTGGAGGATATGGAGGTGGAGGACGACGACGATGACGGGACAATGACTACGGGGGAAGACGACTGCGGGGAGGAGCGGGTGAAAGATGGCGACGGGAAGGTGGGGCTGAAGGTGGAGGGCGACGATGGGGAGGAAAGACGACCGGAAGGTGGAGACGATGGAGGAGGGAAAGTGGTGGAGGATATGGAGGTGGAAGACGACGACGATGACGGGACGATGACTGTGGGGGAAGATGACTGCGGGGAGGAGCGGGTGGAAGATGGTGGCGGGAAGGTGGGGCAGATGGAGGAGGGCGACGATGGGGAGGAAAGACGGCAGGAAGGTGGAAACGATGGAGGAGGGAAGGTGGTGGAGGATATGGAGGTGGAAGACGACGACGATCACACACACACACATACACACACACACACACACACACACACACACACACACACACATACACAACGGGGCCGGGGGGTAACGAGGGGGGGGGTGTAA